AGTATCATCATATTAGAAATCTGTTGACACATAAAAACCAGCCCAAACACTTTTTGGTTCTTAAATACAAGAGATGGAACTTTAGAATTTGCAGCAGAGGTGATCCCTTTTCAGGGCTAGTCCAGAAAATTGAGTTCTTGATAGCAAATATTTCATGTAGTACAGTGAACTTTCATTTAGTCCTACTGAATAAGGCCTTTTCCTCCTTCCATATGTATTTACTAAAATTAGATAACCCAGACATCATCTTAATCCTACTGTTATCTGAGCATAAGTCTGAATAGTTGAAACATGACCTTTTACATACAAGCCAGACATAATATTCTTGAAATTGTATTGACATATGCAAAGGCATATCAGAGTCTGACTGTTCCAAATGTACCCATGGGAAAAAAAAAAAAAAAAAACCCAACCAGATATTGAAGATTTATCTACTTAATCAGCTTCCAAGTCTCCTAAACCACCTCTTCAGTGATCTGTTGCTGAAATTGTTTTTCTTTCCGTTGTTTGCACTTTATTTATAATATATATGGGGCTGGGGTGTGGCTGGCTCAGGAGGTTAGTGTTAGACTGGAAAGGCTGTTGCCATTGAAATGAGATCTCAAATTTAGGCTGAGACAGGAGTGACTGAACATTTTGAAAGATGTTGGCTGCTCATTAATCTCTGTAGCCATACCCATGACAAAACCAATTAGCACTGGGACAGATTATTGCAATTGGGAGTCTCTATTAATTGGCAGTCTTAGCTAGGTGCCATATATTATTCTGTCACAAAAAACCTTCCAGTGTGGAGACAACTAAGTTCTAAATATACACAGCTTCCAATCTGTGGTGTTGACTTCTTGACAAGCAAGGACTTTGGTTTGTATTGACCTGGATAAAGCAGTATATGACAGAAAACATTTATGGACTGTGTTGTGCTCTGTGTCTCTTTAAGTTTGTGAATGCAGGCTTTTCTAAGAGGAGGATTTGGTGATTAACATTTAGTCTTGAAGTGAGTAATATAAAATGGTAGCAACACCCCTCCCCCACACCATGATTCTTTGTTGAGTGCACCTTGACTACATTAGAGCTTGATCCTGTTGCTGGATGAAAGAGAACTGCTATCTTTCTAATTGGCAATTTTATAGCACTTTCAGTCTTGAAAAAGTCCTATTATACAGAAATTCTCTAATAATATGAATCAGACAGCTAGTTCTCCTTTGCTTCTTTTTGTACCAGTGGATAATTTGCTAATGATCTTATTTTACTCTTCAGGGAGCAGAGTTTTCTCAGTGTTCCCAAGAGAAAAGGGTATAATAGCTAAAGCTGTTGGCACAGTTAAGGAAATGAGTGATCCCGGGGTATAAGGAAGGTATTTGGGAGAGCAAATGTCATGTCAAGGGGAGCTAGGCATATACAGCTCTTACTTTCAAAATGCCTCTGATTTTGTGTCTACTTTATTAGAGTGAGGCCTCAGCAAAAGAAATAAAAAATTTTGAGTTGAAAAATGGGTAACAAAAATATGGAAATAGGAAGGCTGACTGGCATAAATGAAAATATAAAGCCTTTTGCTAACTTTCTTTTATACAGTAATATTTCATATTCCATGCTTTTCTAGTACAGCATCAAACAGGACTTTATTATCACTTGTAATATTCCATATAGCCCACTGATAGACCATAGCCACTGGCCAAGCAAAACTTCAATCAGTTTTTCTTCTCTTGTCAGCTCACACCTCTGACAGAGCAGCTTCAAGATGACTCATCTAAGAAGGTTTCACCATAGGACAGGGGAAAATTATTTCTATCTGCTTTTCCCATACTAATAAGATAATTTCAGTTGTAGATACTTTTGCAGCACTTGCTGAGCCATGCTATGCCTATTTGAAAACAGAAATCTTTTTATCCAAATGTCAAGAAATTTTTCCATGAAATCAGTGCTTTTACTTTATAAGACACATTTTTGCTGCAGTTTCCTGTTTCACAGAGTTGCAACAATCATATTTTGTCCCATTACAGAGTACATTTCTAACTGAATTAATAATCAGCATTAGCTGTGAGAATTAAAACAAAATTCTATGCATAAGGAACATCTATGTTATGAAACCCACTGGCATGTGCTTAGGATGTCATTTGCCTAAAAAGTTAGTGGTGGAAAGTGTTTTGGATTTCCTTTCTTTGCTGAAAATCCTGAAAGGAGTAATGGCTTATTCAGCAAGAGTGCACCAATGGTTCCAATGCATGCAGTCTGTGAGGAGCAAGACACTCTTCAAGACCTGCAGTGTGCTTCCATACCTGCTTACCGTGAGGCTTTCTTATGTAACTCCACTCCAACTTTGCATGCAGTCATAACAAAACCAGAAGGATGTATTTCTTTGTTTATTGACATTGGATAAAGCATTTCATCCCAAGTAATACTTCTTGTGTTACGGATTCATCAGGTAGTTTGCAAATAAATACAGAGAAGCTGCTTTTGTTGTCACTTCACCAATACTGACGTGACATTCGCGGCTTGCTCTTCCTGAATAATCAAGGAGTTCATCGAATGCATTCTACTTGTGCATGTGATATTGCGCTTACACTTAAAAGGCTTACAGATTCACAAATAATTTTTTTCTGAAGAGAGGAGCATAGGCTTTCTTTAATTCATGTCTGTTACTTTGACCTAAATAAAACTTGTTTCTCCAGCTCATCACCACTAAATACATTCCACTTCCCCAAAGAAGTATATGCCATCCAGTGTCTTAATGCAATGTTGTTAAGTAGCCAGTATGAAGATTAACATTAAATCTTAACAGCAGCTCTTCTCCATCAGCCTCTGAGTGGACATGCACTATTTGTTCTCTGGGGTTTGTAGCTTTAGCCAACCACAAGTTGTGTTGTTCTGGCCAGGTGATCCCAAGTGTTTAGCAGGGTCACTTCTGTTCTGCCTGACGAGCTGGCAGCCAGGCAGCACGTTCCCCAGGGGTAAGGGAACTTCCAGATTGCAGTCCTTTCTTCTTTTATTTTCCTTTTTCATGAGTTATCTGTGGCTTTCTGAGCGAGTAGCAGTAGATAAGACACAGACTGCAAGCCAACCTTTTCTCACTACTGTAACATAATTTTCATTGATCTCCCTCTGATCTCTCAAGCACCTCTGAGGTCCCACTGGCTCCTGGCTGCTCACAAGAAAAAGGCCAGAGTTTATACTGATTTAGAAAGAAACACACTGAGCAGTGGAAGATTGTAAAGGTTTGGCATTTCTCAGTCCTGCAGCACAAGTGCTCAGATGATTATCTTGGAATTCATAGTGGAGTTGAAATTTTTTTAAAACCAGTAGAGCCTTATGACTTAATTTGTGATGCACAAAGCAGCAAAATATACTGTAATTGCTGCAATATTTCAGCAGGAGTATTGGTTGTTTTCATCATCATAAAGACTGATAATGTACATCAAGGATGCCTGTTTAGAGATACTGTTGATAGAAAATCAGATTGATGCATCATGACAAAAATTTCTAATGAGATTTTGTCAAGGATCTTTTATAAAACGATACACTCATGATACAGTTGTACAGTTATTCCAAAGAAATTTTTAAAACAATTATTTAGCATGTAAATAAAATACCCAGAATGCATCCCACATACCCCCTGTCATGTATAAGAAAAACAAAACTCAAAACCAAATGTGGGTGACTGTGCTATACCTTGTAGTTTATGCAAGTGTTCCCCACACACTAATATTTTTATTACCCTGAAATGTGGAACAAAGTGTTTTCAATCGATGATGAAGTCTCAAGGTTTTATAAAATTTGTCTTTGAATAGGTTTCACAAAATACTTGGAAAGAGTATGTCTATATAGTCACACATTATTATTCTCAGAAAAGAAATTCCTTACTTTATTGTAGTTCACATTTTATTTCCTTAGCCAGTTTATACTTTCTCCTATGGAAATAGCAAATGACATAAATGGGAGGTAACAGGGACTGTAGCCAGAATTTTACTGTATTTCACATGTATCTCAGTGGTCACATCACACCTCTCCTCCGTATCTGCATCCTGGAGGATGCTAGGTCAGCTGCTGATGTACTTCAAGAGTTTGAGTCTTAATTTGTTGCTTCAGTTCTTAGTTTTAAAGATTCAACCTTTAAAGAAAGGTTGAATCCTTGCTTTGGCCAGAGTGGCCAGTACACTGAGAGTTTATTCATTGTTCAAACTCATGGTGGAGGGTGATTAGAGCTTTTTGTTTCTGAAGGCACTTTGTGCCTCCCTTTGTGTTGGTTCTATAGGCACCTCTCAGTCAGCTTGTGAGTGTGTTAAAAAAAAAACCCATTCCATGATAAACTGTTATTGTAAAGTTTAGTCAGTGGAAGTTGGTGGTTTAAGAGACACATTTCCCAAAGGAATTTCCAGGAGAAAGAGAATGTGTTTTGTTTCACTCTCATGTTTGGAAACCCAATTGTATTGTTTGATGATTAGAGAGGAGCCTGCAGTCAGTTATGTTGAGATTCAGAGGTGCTGGTATAAATCAACAGGAGCTCCACAGGACAGGGAAGCCCTTCTAACCTAAAAATGGTGTCACCAAAAGCATAACCAAGGACCAGAGTAAATATTTAATGTTTTTATATACCCCTAGGAAAAAAAAAAAAAAATCTTTTTTTTTATCAGGTAGCCTGCACTACGCAAAGGGTTAAGATCTTATTATATGAACTGGGACCTAATTATTTTCTTCATATTAGGGGTAGTTTAAACAGATGTCAGATTACCTGTCATGTTTTGTGACAAAATGAGTTGTTACTATGTAGGCAGTAAATTGTGATTAGCAGTACCTCTGCTGCTGTTAGGCCCAAAATCATTAGCCAAGTACTTTTATGGAAACAATTCAAAACTTCACTGCAATTAATTCTGCAAATTCAAGTGTCAGTAATGAAAATAATTCTGTGAAACCTAGAAACACCAGGGATGTTGTTCTTTCCTTGAATGAATACAGCAATTTTCTCTGTGTGAATTTTCTTCTGTTTTGTTGTTCTTAATAAACAGACATTGATGAGTGCTCGGATGGCTTTGTTCAGTGCGACAGCCGTGCTAACTGCATTAACCTGCCCGGCTGGTACCACTGCGAGTGCAGAGATGGCTACCATGACAATGGAATGTTTTCACCAAGTGGAGAATCCTGTGAAGGTCAGTGTCTAAAAAAGGTGGGGTGCTGTTATGGTTCACATGAAAGTGTCCAGAAAATGTCTGGTGTTTCAGATTGTAGTCGTCAAGCATTGTCTTGAAAACTGCAGTGAAATTTAAAGCTTGACCCCAAAGAATTACAGTCTAAATGAACCTCATCATCAAAGACAAAAGAATATAAATATGAATATTCCTATAATGTGGAGCATTAGTGGAGCAATTCTGTGTTTTACTAACATAATATGTAAAGTCAGGCATGGTGATTGAAATGCAGTTTCTCTGGCCCTACATCTGTTTCTGTGCTTGTCCCTTGCATAAGTGATTTCCCGTGGGCTGGTAGCATGCACTGTAATCTGTCACTCCACAGTAATCTGCTTATTTGTCAGATTCTTTGTGTATAGGAAATGGGCCTCAATCCAGACCTCATTTCTTCCGCTTTGTTTTCCTCATACACCGAAATAGTTCTTGATAAAAATATTTCCCATTGCAGAAAATGATTATGCATCCCTGAGACCCTCACCTGTACCTTGGCTATACTGTGGTGTTTCTCTTGTGTAATGGCTAACTGCTTCTAGAAGGCTGCAATTTGCAGAACTACATTACAAACTGGGGAGCTCAGTGGACATAGGGCTGGTGTAAGGTGTAGGGGACAAGAGAGTGACAAGGGGCCAAGGAGATGGAAAGGTTTTCTGTGTTCATGAATGATGTTAGAGAGAACAGCAGATTAATAAGAACACAATTACTTTCAGATGCAGGCCTCTTAGTATGGAATGTTATTCAGTTCTTAAGGTATTTCATGCTGCTGCTCTTAAATAACAGAGCAAGCCAGTCTTTTTTTGTCATGGACTTCTCAGGGCAAAATTATCACCCTTTCTCCCTTCTTTCTGTGAGTGCTGAAATATTCGGTGCTCACAGTCTAAGCTTTCTCATTGCTGTTTAAACTCACATTGGTGGGCTGCATTAGTCCCAAAGTGAAGCAATTGAATTAATTTCTCTAAGGCAGACACACAGACAGTTCTCCAGGAGTGAGAATGACCTTTCTGGTATACCCATCATCAATACTTTATTTCAACACATTTTCATCACAGCTGAAAGCCTGTATTCCCAGGAGGAATCAGCAGTTTAAGGCAACCACTGCTTTCATAAGTCGAGCTTCCTTTGTCAAGAACTAACTAAATATCAGTGTTATCTGGCCAGGAGTTAGGACAGGAAGGTGCAAAGAATACATTTTGATCCCTCTGATGATAACATTGCATTTCTGTCACTCATGGCACAGGAAATAAATACTCCAGCCAGGTATTTATGGAAATAATATCCCGTGTTTTATCTTCAGTGTCAGTATAACACTTGCCTGGTGGGTTGAAGATGGTGGTTTGGCACCTGCTGTCTCAAGAGAGATGCACGATACAAAGTGGCTGTGTTATGATGTGTGCAAACAAGTATCAATTAAGCAGCAAATTCTAAACAAGTGAAAAGGCAAGGGAAAAGGAATGTGAGGATTGCTACATGTGTACAGAAGCTGCAATTATTAGACTGTTTTGACCTTTTCTACGAAGAGCTAGCAGCTCTTTATTAAACGTACACAGTGGATAACAAGTAATTAGAATTAAATCACAGATGCCAGAAAACTATCTTCATTGCTGATAACCCTAGTGACTAACATTGGAACACTTCCTGTTTGATTGATTGCAGCTCCAAGCGTTGGGATCCTTAGCAGCTTGAGATCACAGAATTATAGAATGTGTTGGATTGGAAGGTACCTTAAAGATCCCGTAGTTCCAACCCCCCTGGGCAGGAACACATCTCCCTAGTACAGGTTGCTCAGGACCCCACCCAGCCTGGCCTTGAGAGGGAGGAAGGTTAGATATTTGATTAATTTTACCACATCACTTTTTATTGGATTGGTACTTGTGACATGTTGTCTCGGATAAAAATAAAACCAGAAGGGTGTGAAGAGACAACATAGAATCCATTGCAGTGTGGAAAGTTGAACTTGCAGTAGCACAACACCGTAGTTCAGAAGCAATCGTCTTCTCTGCTGTCAGAGCTTTCCACTGTAAGAGATTTTCCTACTGGGTTTAGAGACAAAAGAAAATTGATTGATTTGATAGTTCTTCAGTAACCCCTGGTTAGATGTGATTAGATTGAGCTGCTGGTGGATGGTCTTTGAGTCACTTTAATGGGCAGCAGCTTCCAGGCTATACTAATCTCAAATTTCAAATCACAATTCTCATTTTCAACTCTATCCAGGACCAGCATCCTCTGAAACTTTCTGTCTTGTGCAAGTGCTTCAGCTTGCAGAGCTGTAGAAGGAACAGTGCAAACTACTTCAAAGTAGTGTTTTATATGGAGTGCGTAATAGGCTTAACTTGACTCATGTTTTGTGAGTTTTAGAGTTGCTTTGAAGTAAGTTCCTTCTTCTAGAGGAAATAACCTTTAAAATCCAAGGAATATTTTCTTTCTTTATTGTTCTAAAAAATCTGGGTCTCTTTGTGTCCCCTGCACATGTGCTGATAATACACAAAGCGTTTCAGTGATCACTGTAATCAGTTCTTTGTATCCTTCAGCAAAGACTCCGATTTTAAAAATCCATGTGGAAACGCCTCTGTTAAAATCATAGATGCACAGGAGCATTTTCTTAAAAGACTTATTTTAACAGCATTCCAGTGCTATACCTATCCCTTTTAGGACATCATACTAAATATTCCTGCCTAGAGCTGGGCTCCTTGGTAGCACTAGACTTTGTCAGTGCTTGATAATGAAATAATAGTTACTGAATTGCCCATTTTACACGTCTATTGACCTTGGCTACTGCTGCTTCTTTGGCACAACTGAGAATATTGAATGTTTTGACTAATGTACTTGAATGCAAAAATTCATAATCCCATTTTATTGTACCTACAGGCAATGGAAGACCTAGAGATCCCTTTGCTAATAGTTTTGATTCACATTATACCCCTAGGTAGACCTATGGTGTCTATAAAAATTACTGAGAGAAATTATGGGAAATGCTGCTGTAGGGCTTCAACCTCTTAGCAGCACTTGCTGTTTTTCCCTTGGAAATAAAATTATGTTATGCCTTGTTATATTTCCAGAAAAGTGAAATATCAGCCATGTAGTTCTTGAGACTTGTATGGCTTTGGAAAGTCTTAAATTTTATATATGTAAATATAGCACTCGGTATGGTGTATTAGCTTGTATCTTCTTTTTGCCCCGACAGCTTTTCTTTATAGTTTCTTTTAACAGTCTTATTGGTAGTGAAGGTTGTCTCTTGTGTACCAGTTCATAAAGAAAGCTGGGCTAAGGGAGTAGCTATTGCATCCTCAGGCTTCATTGCAGTAAAAAAAAAAAAAAAAAAAAACTAGAACTGAGGGCAAAATCCTAAAATAAGAAAGTTCAGGCCCCATTAATGTTTGCCCTGCAGTTCTCTGTAACATCCTGATTCCTTTGAATTTGTCCTTTGCAACGTCTAAAAGCTTGCATAATCAGTTGAAGAGGGAGGCTATATTGGTTTGTACCAGAATAGTGCAGGTTATGCCTCAGCAGTTGTTGGACTTTTGGCACACATCCACATGCAAAGAAAGCTCACCTAATTAAGGCAGCCCCTTAGGACTTACCAAGAGTATCTGTCAGGTACCAGCTGTTGTTAGTATAGAATATGAGATCAATGTACCTTCACTCTCAGCAGGTACTACATTCTTTAAATGACACAGATGCAAATGAAAGGTTCGGATAGATCAATCCAGAATGCCCAATTCATAAAAGAATCTTTTTTTGGTTGTAAGGGTTTATCCATATATGAACTCACATTTGGGTTTTCTGTTCTGAAGTATCTTATGGGTTTTTCCTGCCATCCTGCTTCCAGAATTAGAATCACTTACTTCTTTGTGCGACAGAGCAGCCAGTCTGACAGCACAGAGGCTGAGGCTCAACTTGAAGTCTGTTTTCAACAATTCAGGATAATGAGGGATGGAGGCATATTACAAGCCTCAGTATGCTCCCCAGCCTTACTGACTGGGCAAAGTCCAAAATGGTCACTGCAGTGTCTGTGTCTCTGGATCTGGAAGGCAGAGGAATTGCTGGCTGTCAGGATGTCTCAGTTTATCTCACACTGCATCCAGTATTTTAACTAGTACATGAGACTTCTTGAAGTTGAAAAACCACTGTCAGTTTGGAGTCCTACACTTAGATTTATCAGAATCTTTGTTTTTGACAGCAATTAAGTGATACAGGAAATAAAAAATCATTACTCTTCAGCAGCAAATGTTGTTAGCACTCACAAAGCTCCATCAAAATCCTTTTGCTTTTATTCATGATCACTAAAGGTCAGCAAATAAAGTGACTTCTTTCTTTTTTCCATTTATCCCAAATAGAGCTATAGGCATTAAGGCTTAGGTATTGAATTTGTGAACCCAACTTAAGCATCACCCAACAGAAGGCAGATATGGAGACATATTAGTATTTCAATATTCTGGAGTGTGGGAAGAAAACAAAATGTCCAGAGTTTCTCGTCTTTTATAAAGGAACTGATAAAACAGAAACTTGACCACTGTGTTTTATAAGACAGCAATCTGAACACATTTACTGTATAGGGAAATGACATTTCTGTCAAGCTGATGTTACCAACATCTGAAGTCTCAGCTCTTCATCTTCCACATCTGGCGTGCACTCTCACAGGTGGCTTACATGAACTCAGAAATAAATTATTCACAATTCACTCACTCTTTGAAGAATTATTACACCAGTCAATAGATCTACTCAGGACAGAAAAGAACAGAAATAGAACTTCCTGCTCAGATGAGCTTGGGTTCCCTAGCAAATGCGCTCCTTCCTTTTTTGCCTTAAGCAAAAAGTTCTCGGGTGTCCTGGTACTTTCACCTTGCTGAGCTAATGCTATTCCTCCGAGCAAAGGTAACTGAGAAACTTCAGTTGCTTTAAAGCAAAGAAACTGTCCACCCTCCCCAGCCATCTCTTCCAATATTTCGCAATGATACAAATGTTCCCCTTTTCTTTAAAAAAATGAGAGTCTTACCAATATCATCATGATGAGATATTCTGAATCAGAGGCTGCTTGTTGCTCAGGGCCAAGTGAAATGGTGCTTTGTCCCTCTGCGTTTCTTTGACTACCTCTTCCCAGAAAGTCAGAGAATCTCTTAAATACAACCTTGGATCACAACCTGGAGCAATTGAAATTCCCATTTTTATGGAGGTTTCTATGTCTGCAGTCTCAAAAATACTGCAAATGGAGTTTAGTCATTCTAAGTACTGTCACCATACTGTATGGCTTTAGTCTGATATTTTTCCTGTGTAGGCAGTAAATTATTTGTAATAGAATTAACTCCTGGTTTTCTGTAACATGTATCACTACTTCTTCTCCAGTGGTATTCCTTTGTTATTGCAACATTAAGTTGTAAGAGATTATAGTAAGAAAAGGAAAATCCTTAAAAATGAGACAGATGAAAACTGCTGTAATTTTTCCTGTAGGTTAGATAAATAAGAACTGATTCTCAGTTTAGCACTAGATAACTAGTTACATTTCATTTCTGTCAGGTTTTTTTATTGAGGCAAACCTCCAAGTCTTTTGAGACATAATGTTCTAGTGTCCTAACATTCAAGCTGCTTGATTCTTAAGCAGTGTGTTGTAAATAGCCTGAAGTGAACTATTTGTTTTTGAGTGGTTTGTGAGGGACTCTTTGGGGTTTTATTTTGTTTTGGTTTCATTTGGGAGGGGGCTGGGGGTTGTTTGTGTGTTTTTAACAGCATGGAACCAGTCATATAATGGCTTTGTGGCTGGATAGAGTGGAATATGCAATCTGTAATCTTACCATCTTCCCTTTTCAAACACAAAAGATGCAGCACCCAGTGTCCCTTGTCCATAGCTGGTTATGGCTGGAAGCACAATTTCAGTAACATGATTTACCATCTATTAAAAGTCTAAAGTAAAAAAAAAACTGAACAAAGTTTTGCTTGGTATGGGTGATTTGTGTGCAAGTTCTTTGCTGATAATGCCTGAAGTTTGATGTGGATGAATAATGCAGATGAGATTTTCATGCATGAAAAGTTGGTGTTTCTCTTGCTGCATCATAAACACACTGCTGTTTCTGATTAGGTTAGAATCAAAATGTAAATAGCTCCTGCTGTGACTAGGGATATTTAAATTGCCCTATTCAGAACATTTATTTTCATAAATCAAACAACTGAAAAAAACAAGATTGGGAATTTTCAGTAGTTCTCGAAAGATTGCCAGATAAGCTCTGCTCAATACCAGAGTCAATGATGAAGCCTCCATTATTTTCAGTTACTGTGACTGTGTTGAAAAATAAACCTCAGAAGCCTTTTTCTCATGGGAAAATTGTGAAATAGACTTGTATATAAGGGCTGAAAGCAGAGTCAGTGTTTCTAGGATCACCATTTGTTGTTTAAAGTAAAGCTTTCTTATTTACATGACAGCTGAACTTTGTCCAGTTACCTCATTAAGTATGTCTGCCTTCTGTTAAGTAGATAGGTTGCTGAATAGTGACATTATAAATTTATGACAACTGTGTGAAAATTATCTACAAAAGAGTGCCCTAAACAAATGAATGCAATTTTTGGAATGTAATTTATCAAAAATTACTTTGATAATAAAGATAATCTTGCTGTTAATATGAATTGTTACATTTAAACTGAATTTGTGTCTGTTCTTGTTATTGCATGACTTAAGAATGGCTATACCTTAATTTTAAATTGCCAGATTATATTATTTTCTGTCTGGATTTAAGAGAAAATATAGGAAGGAGAGAGCAGCTCTTCCGTCCCTCTGCTCTGCCCAAACCAGGGTCACTCAAACCATTCCTGTTAGCTACTTTTCTAAAAATCTTCAAGTTGGGAGTCTGGACAGCCTCTGCAGGGCTGCTGTTCCACTGGCTATGTATCCTGGCTGTTGGGGTGGGTTTCCTGTCTGATGTGCCAGTGATGTTTCAGACACAGTGACTTGGGTCCATGGACCCAGTTACCTTCTGCCTGTCACAACAGTGACTGCCTCCAGGTGCCTCAGAAGGCAGTGAGGTGGAACACGTAGGGATCTGAGATGATTTGCCTGTTCTGGATTATCTGTTACATAAATAAGTGTACCAGGGGCCCTAATGCATGAAGTGTATCCAAAAATCACAGTCTCTCCAAAAATCTGTTAGCACTGAAATTTGAATAGTCTGCCTGGCTTTATACACTTTTGGCTGTGCAATTGGTTTTTCCCTCTTAGGATTCTGTAGTAGTGAGTGTCATAGTTTGTTTATGCATTGTATGAAAAGTTATTTTCTTTTATCAGGCATAAATTTGTTGTCTTTCCGTTCCATTCACTGTCCCTTGTCTAGTGTGTTAGCCAGTATGGAGAAAAAAGCTCTCAACATGTCTTCTTTGGAGTATTCTTGGGTTTCGGGATTGGTTTTTGGGTTTTTTTTGTTTTTTTTTTTTTAATATATATCCTTTCTTGCTGATGTTCTTTTAGACATGATCAGTCCATGTCTTTTATTTCTTCTCAAATGGTATTTCCCTCAATCTTCCCATAAGCCCTAGTAATTTTACAATTCTTTTTAAGATTATGCCACTGTTACTGCACAAAGTATTTGAAGGAAACCCACTATGCTGCTGATTTGTATAATGGAGTTCTAATAATTTCCCTGCTGTTTTTCATCCTAATTCATACTCATGTTAGCAACTTGTTAACTTTTTTTGTTTTTTGACCATAGCCATGCTTGGAATTGAAATGGTAATTGAATTATTTTGCTTTAAACTCATTGTGATTGAGGTGGATTGGAGGTTTCATTTCTGTTGTTGAACCCAAAGCTGAGTGTTTTATTTTTCAGGTTTTTATGCTGGTGGTAAAGATACATGAATGATCATGTTGCTTATTTTATCTCACTCCTCTGGTGTACATTTAATTATGACATCACTAATTTTAATGAACTTTAATCAAGAACTTGGACCATACTGTTGAGAAATTGTATTTAGAGTTGAACTTAATATCTCAATATTTACAATTACTGTAGTTCTAGTCTTTACTCTGTTTTCCACTTTTTATTGCATATATCCGTTTACTTAATGCCCCTTTGAAGCTTCTTTCCGTGATCATTTTTCCCCATTTGAACAGCTGTAAAAGCTGAATAAAGACTATTTGAGTAGAAGGTAGTGTGTGCTGCTAGCTTGCCCTTGCAAAATAGTTGTGCGTACCTTGATGAAGTAGGCCTTTAAAGTACTTTTTAATTCTTTGAAATATGTTTGTTTTGAAGGAATTTATTTTTATTCACTGGAGACTTGATTTTTTTTGTCTTTATTTTCTATTCTAGACATAAGGGCTACAGCTGTCATTGCAACTTGAATATTTAAAATATTCTAGTCTTTACATTCTAATAAATGATGAAATTTAAAGTATGATGTACTTACTTAAATGAGCTTACAGGTCAGACATCACCTTTCACATTAAATTCTCATCAAGTGAACACGAATGTGCTGGACAGAGCCAGCAAAAGACTTTAAGAACACAATTCTGAAGCTATTCTTTTTTCACACAGCATGTCTCATGTGTGGTTGCCACAAACGAAGGCTTTTTAGGGAGCTAAGAATTATTCTTTCTCTCATGTTTCTTGTGGTTTCTTCATTCTATCTACTGTACTCAATAGCACTCACTTAGAAATATGTATGGCAAAACTCAAAATATCAGGTTAAAACATGATCCAAAAAAGCTGATATGACTTGTGAAATATTTTTTGTTAAGTTCTCTCCATTCTGGTGAACTACAAATTAATTTTCAGCTGAAGGCCTTCATGGCTAAGAATCATTTATATTAACTGCCACAAGAAAACTTTTGTTAATTGAATGTGGTCTGAGAGCATTCCATGGCATGTTTTTGCAGACATTGACGAATGTGGAACTGGAAGGCATAGCTGTGCCAATGACACTGTTTGCTTTAACTTGGATGGTGGGTATGACTGTCGGTGTCCCCATGGCAAGAACTGCACAGGAGACTGTATCCACGAAGGCAAAATCAAGCACAATGGTCAGATTTGGGTGCTGGAGAATGACAGATGCTCTGTCTGCTCGTGCCAGGTCAGTACCAATGGAAGTAGCTTCTTCTGCAAGGTGGTGGTGGGATGAAGGGCAGAGCATCAGGATCCAAGTGAAATTCCTGTTTTAGCTGCCTTCTCAGGTGCATGTGTGGAGCTACAGAAATGAAATCATGTATTACACAGGGTTTTGGAGATAGCTTCTCTCTCCAACCTGCATGAGCAAAACATTCATTGGAATTTTATTATGTGGTACTGGGAGAAGGATGACACTACTGTTTTGTTAGCAGAGATGCCACCTGTGTTCTCTGGGTGGGAGAAACAGCATTTTTATGCAAATAAACTGTCTAGACACCTATTGGGGCTGGAGTCTGACGCCAGTATCTCAAGCAGATGGCTATAAATAGAAGTAGGTTCTGTGTCTGCAGAGTAATTCAGCTTAACTTCCTCAGATGTTTGCTGTGGGAAGTTTGGTCCCAAGCTAAATGCTCATGGAGAATGAAGGGCCAAAACACTTCTGACAGTATCCTGAGCATTTCAGCAGCTTGACTTTGGTGTACATGGTTTAGTTTCAAATCACCTATTATCTTCCTACGTGAATAATTACAGAACAGAGGGATTGATCTTCCTTGACACCATCCAATCTGGTATTCTATGAAACCATGATATTCTATGAAGTTTAAAGCAAGATTCATCAAGCATTTGTATGAGAATTACAAACAGTGCAATCCATTGAAGTCTAACCCTTGGGAAAGACAACAGGGGAACTTATGGTTGTTACTGAGTGCGTATGGGGGTTTCTGGCTTGATTTCAATTGTATTTTGGCAAAGATACTGTGTAGTGGAAAACTTTTGAGCTGCTAATGGCTTAGAATCAAGGTAAAATATAACATTTTGGCTGGAGTTTGGCTAGAGTGGTGCAAATTTCTGCCATCGCTGTGTGTCTCTCTTCTGAAAACAGAATGGCTACGTGATGTGCCGGCGAATGGTCTGTGACTGCCAAAATCCCACCGTTGACCTCTTCTGCTGTCCTGAGTGTGACCCAAGGCTCAGCAGTCAATGTTTACATCAGAGTGGGGAGTTTTCCTATAACAGTGGTGATTCCTGGATACAGAACTGTCAGCAGTGCCGCTGTCTGGTAAGGTCCCCAATTACTGCTCCACAGACAGGAGGGAAAACGATGTGAGATGTTCTGATCTGTTCATAGTTTCATTTTCATGCATCAGCATCCACTTAATTTTCCCTGAAATACGTGTATAATTAAAAATCTGGTTTGCCTGGATTTATGTCAGTATTGTCCAGTTTCTGTCAAAAGCGTATTTTGATACAATAGACATAATATAAATTACTTAATCATGAAGGTGGTTTCAGCAAAGTGGAGGTCATTTGGATATGGCACCTACACAGCAACACTAACATTCACTTATTCAGAGACTGATGAAGCTCTGTAAGGAAATTCTAAATATGTATTTATTATCACAGCTGATATTTTCAGGCATGCTGGTAAACTTAAACTTATTTATTCAGTCAGACATTTCAAATAACAGAAAAATAATAAGACTTCTTGTGTTTTTCAAAACAGTGAAATGAAGTTTCAAAAAAAAAATCTGTTAAAGCTTGTCACCTTTTTCCTAAGCATGTACTTTAGAGTCTAAGCAAAAAGTATTCTGCATAATGCTGCTCATGAAGTTTCTGTGACAGAGAAAATCCTAAGATAAAAACAACTAGCTTTTATCACAAGTTATCTCCAAATATAAAGGCTGGTCCATGTATCAGCTCGGGCTTGTCAGGGTATCATGAATAACAGCCAGAAGCCCATTTCTGTAGACTGTGCTTATAGTGCTACCACTGCCAAAATTCAATTAAATAGATAACCATGTGCTTCATTAAATGTCTTAAAAATGAAAAAATAACAAACCTACAATTTAGGATCTCAATAGATGTTTCTATTTTTTTTTTTTCAAGATGCTACTTCTGTAGCAAAAGTCTGCTTTCTTTCAGTGACCATGGATTTTTTGGGGTGACAGAGTATTGTTTACTCCCTGTACTGTCCATCACTGCAAAAAATAGATTGAAGTGTCAAGACCAGTGGCTAGATTAAAAGACTGCTTTCAGTCTTACCATTACACAATTCAAAAAGAAGAAAATTGACCCAGTTGATAATTTTTTAAAAGACTAACTTCACAATACTTTCTGCAACAAGTGGAGGAAATTTGGGGCTATTACAAGTGTCTGAGATTTTTTTAAGCTTCTGCTTTGGAGATAGCAAGCTCCACATTTTCAAAGACCTAGATACATTTTTTGTGAATAAACTGATTTCCTAGGGCTAAATGCTGTTCTTTTTGCCCCCCGTTAAGTCCAGACTATTAAATCTGAGCCCAAATGAGCTGAATAAATTGGCAGTCAGAGATCTGCTCAAAAAAAAACCCAAACAAACCAAACATTATTGACTTCTGTGAAGTCTTTTCTTTGACCAATAGATCTGCAACTTTGGCCTTTGTCTAGAGTGAAGGGAAGCTGATTCCAGCTTCTAGTAACTGATATGATTTATTAAACGTCTTTAGATTTGTGCTCAGGCATAAAGTAAGCTCCCAAAAGGATATGCTGGCCCAACACAAGTCTCTGCTCAGACCTTTTCTTACCTTGACTACACTAAATCCACCATGCAGAAGATGTGATAAAGTTTGGAACTTCAGGTATTCTGCTTGTAGTATCCTGAGTGGATGGAGGGTGGAGTGAGTGGAGGTCCTGTCATTGAAAATGTGGTGGTGTTCCCTGTTACATTGGGGAGGGGAGGGGGAACAAACAGCTGAAAATTTGAAAAAAAACCCTGAAAATTTTGGCAGACTTTTGCAGTGCAGTCAGGTTACAACTTCTGTCCCTTGTAGAAATAGAACTTAACAAGGACAGAAGGACAGGCCACAATTCTGTATTGCATAATTTTGTGGAGAATTTTCACCTGCAGCTTGATGGAGAATGTACTGAACTAAGTTAAATCTAATCTACTTTCTGAATGGCATGCAGAAAAAAGCACCTGATCTGCTGTGTGTCCCACAGTCAATGAATGTCAGTGTTTTCTGTGCTGAATTCTGAACAGCGCCAGACGGAAAGAATAGCCAGCTAGAAAACATAATGCTGATTCAGAGGAATGGATGAGGAACAAAATAAGAGCTAATACTAATATCTTGTTCTTTCTGAAAACAGCAAGGAGAAGTTGACTGCTGGCCCTTGCCATGCCCAGAGGTGGACTGTGAATTCAGTGTCCTGCCCGAGAACGAGTGCTGCCCACGCTGTGTCGCTGACCCCTGCCAAGCCGACACCGTTCGCAACGACATCACTAAAACTTGTCTGGATGAAACCAATGTCATTCGCTTCACTGGATCTTCTTGGATTAAGCATGGCACAGAGTGCACCCTCTGCCAGTGCAAGGTAATAAAGGTTATAAAGATGAGGCTGAGATGCTTCTTCCCAGCTTGTTCTGTGGCACATAAATATTAATGTGGCACTGAGTCTGGTCAGGGAACAGTTGGTGTCTATACTTGTTTTAAAGCAGCAGAGATGACAGTAAAAGTGTTCAGCTTAGTTAACTGTACTCTTGCCAGTGCTAGACGCACAGTTTGATGTGCTAGCAGATCAACAGCCCATGCTGCAGAGTGCTGTGGACAAGGTACTGGGTTTCACTTTTCCACCAGGATAGTTAATTCGAGTTTAAACATGGAGCTCCAAGCTCCATTTACTGGTTTTGTACTCAAAGAAATTGATTGTCTGAGGAGAAAAATTAATGGCTATGGGCATATGCTAATTCTGGCATCTCTTTTTGAGGATGAAAAAGAAAAAGGGCCTAACTAAGTGCTTGTATTCAAAATAAGATTGTAAAGTGAATTGTGTTTTTTGCCATTCAATACTGAATAGTGACAATATGTGTTTCCACAGCAGCCAAGGAGAGAGAGCAGGATTCATGCACAGTTCTTTAGTTACTAGTGAAATTCACAGTTGATTTTGTGCTTTATTCTATGTTCTTCCCAAGCAAGATGCTTCCCAACTCCAATACATAGTGCAATTAACTACTTGAAAAGGTGCTCATAAAAAAAAAAATCTATCTCCAACACCTCCTTCTGTGAGAATTCTGTGTGATCAGGCAGCAGAAGCTGTCAAGCATCACTCCCTTCCTCTGCTTTGTCTGATGCAATACTGTGTGCAATAGGTGCTGCTGTCAGGGCATAGTCCTTTTCCAGGGGCAGTGGAATGCACCAAGAAAGTGTCAGTGTTTGTCCTGATGTCAGAATGGGTCAGTGGTTAGAAGAAAATGCTGTGATCTGACAGAATGGCTAATGATTAGAAAGCCAGAGCTGCTGCCCAGAGGATGTTAAAACAGGTTTACAGGCAGAAACCTGTATTTTTGGGATCCATAGCTGGTGCTATACACCAGCTTCAATGCTAGAAATTACTTTTTGGTCAGACAAGTTGCTAAGGTTCTTATGCATCTGTAAAAGAAATTATTGTGTGTGGTTTTTTCCTAAAGCACTTTGAGACTCAGTGCTGGGAGATGTGCTCTTGTTGTACTGCTAATCAGTGGCAATGCAGCAGGCATGTATCAGTTCTGACATGGCCACCTAAGTGCTGCTCCCATCTGGCCTTTTGTGTTAAGCAAAGACTGAACCTTCAGCATTGACTAACTGGTATTCAGTATAAACACATACACAGACTTATCAAATCCATTGCTGCCATGTGGATGTAGTGAGGATTAAAGCAGATACTCTGCCATTCAGGTCTGACTGCCTAACAAAGGAGAGGTACCACTTTGTCCCTAAACAAGGCCAAATCTTATTCAATTCTCTTTACAGAGCAGTGTTGATTTTGAAATACACTTTCTGCTCATATTGCCAGCATTTTAATATAGCAGTTCTGCAGGCAAGCAGCCTGCAGATCAGGGTAGTGATGTGCCCAGTTTGTGTAGTGTTCCTTCTCATTCATCCTGTGTCACCCCACTCTTCTCTTGTAAAGCATCTCATGGAAGGTCAAAGCTCCAGTCTAAGCCTCTCTAAACAAGCAAAATAGGTTTACACAAATCCTTTAAGAATTTAGAAACCTGGGCATCAGCTAAAGCAGACTTAGCCACAAAAACAATTCTAATCACAAGTAAAGAATGGGGAGAGTAGGATTATAACCTCCTGTAACAGAAGGAGTGAAAGAAAATGCTTGAATTATTCAGACCTTGTTTTAATAAGTCCTGTTGGTTTAGTCAATTGAATGTATTTGGAATAATTTATAAATAATACTCATTTTTTAATTTGCATTTTAAGAATCAGACTTAAGAAGTAGAGATGCAGAAATGATTTCTCTAGTATTTAATGATGTCCATAGGCTATCTGTTCCCTTAAGTGCCCTTAGTATTCTCATAAGGATTTCTGGACTATTTGAAAAAAGTTTGTGGATTAATGTTTCCTGGTGTTACAGCCAGGATGCATGAAGTTGAAGCATTAAGGGCTAAATAAAACCCAGAATCCCTTCTGCCTGATCTAAATAAAACTCCCAAGTGCCTTGTCTTGTTCAACAGCTTTATGTATTTGAGCAGATGCCTGATACCTTTATGTTGGGAGCATTCCTTCCACTGATCCCAGCTTCTTTCAGTTTGAGTGTTGTAGCTCTGAGACACAGACCACAACAAGCCAAGCAATTAGAGGAATCATAATAGCCTGTTCCCTCGGGCAACATAAGGACATGAGGACAATGTCATGAATCTGATCCAAGTCTGTACATGTTTTGTATTGTACAAGTCTGTATGTTCAAATCTGATGGGTATTTGCAAACAGCTGAGCTTGTTAAATTTACTTGTTTTGTACAAAATGCAAAATTTTTCAATTCTTCTTTCTGTTTTTCCATCCTTTAGAATGGCCATGTCTGTTGCTCAGTGGATCCACAGTGCCTTCAGGAACTGTGACACCAACAGCTATCCCACAAGCAGTTTCTGGATAAAGAATTTTCCTTCACAGAAATAGACCTTCAGACCAAAAATTGTTCAAAATTAAAACTAAAATTAGGTTGGTTTTGTCTATCTGAAGTGCAGATATGTGATGAACTCGGTTACCAGAATCAGAGTGAAATTTATGGGACTCAAGACAAGCTCAGACGTGTAAACCTTTGTATGAGGTTAGGCTCAAATCTTCTGGCTGTTTGTCTGTCTGGCATCCTTGTGCAGAATGTTTAGGTTAGTGTAAAGTGACACATTGTAATGCTGTACATAATGATGTCAAGATCTAAAATCAACTAGGAGCTCTTACAGGGTCTTCTGAAGCTTTGAGAGTCCAACGCTTGACCAGATGCAGCAGATTTACCTAATCATATTTGGAACTGCACAAGTGTTTGATTGCTTACTGCAGAACTTAGCAGATGTTTGAGTAAAAGGATGAAGCCTTCAGGAATAATGAACCTAGCAGCTAAGATGTGACATGTACAGTATGTGCGCTGAAAAAAAAAGATAGAAGTTATTGTAAAAAACAAAAACAAAACAAGAAAAAAACCAAAAAAAAAAAAGAAAACCCGTGATGCACAGGCATGGCTTCTTAATGTTTTCTGATGGGAAAAGTCATCAATATTTCCTTGTTTTACTGCACTTACTATTATTTCTTGATTGACTTTGTTCAGTATAAGCTCGTTATTGTGCAAATTTAAATAAATATTTCTCTTACCTTAAATTTCTGTTTGTGCCATCTTTCCTTTTCAAGGACTTAATTTTCATGTATGCTGTTACTTCTTTGCCAGTATTCTTGGGAATCTGGACAATACAGGTGAAGTATTGCCTGAGTAGCTCCTCTAAGTGTGGGAGCTTATGCCCAGCACAGCCTTATGCCTATCATGTGTTATCTTTGTTAAGATACACACAAGCAATTTGTCATTACAGTGGATTAAACAGCAAATTCACATTCCTAAAGATCCCCTATGTGCCAGTGGGCTGTTGGCACGTAGAGTCAGTAGAGACCATTTGTGTATGACTTGGATCTGTTCAGATTTGCAGGGGATCTTCTCCAAATTCCTCCTCTCTCCAGCTGCCAAGGGTTGGTTTGTCTTCCATAAGCTCTGCAGCTGTTTTCACTGTTTGTGTGAAGGATCTTAATGTGTGGGGATTACTTCAAAATGCAAACCCTTTTGTCACTACTGTTCTGTTGGGACAGTAAATAAAGGAGGCTACGTGACCAAACCTGTGTTATTCTAAAAGAGAAGTAAAGAATAAAGCAATGCTTACAAATTGCAGGCTGAAAAGGCTGAATTTGTAAAGAATGCATCCCAAGCAGTGGAGACAAAACAGGAAAGGAGGAAGATTCCCAAGGTGAAAGCATTCTTTAGATGCTGCTTTAGTACTCATATTCTTTTCAAAGTGCCTTGCTGCTCTTCACCATCTCTCTTACAAGTTCAATGGATTGTTGTGAAACCTGGACAGGCAAAACTTCCGATAATATTGCTCCTGTGTGATATGAAGTTTCAAGGGAGGTCCATGTATGTAGTTTTACAAAACAGAATTATTTCCTGCAAACAGATGCTACTTCAGTTTCATGTACTGCAAGAGATCAAAGGAAACTCATACAACCTCATGTATCCATTAGATATTCCCTTGAACCCTCAGTGTCTGCTGAGGACTGGATCTTTTTTGATTAGGGGACACAAGAGACACTAGGCCACCAAATGCTAATAGTCTAAAAAAGTCCAAGAAACTAAAAATCAGGGGGAAAAAAGACCTAAATGGGTATTTTACATTGAACCAATAAACATATGAAGATTTCCAGACCAAATAAAACCTTTTCCTCATCTAGTCCATAAATAACAGGTAATCAAAGGTGTTTTTTCTGTTTTGTCCTATTCCTGGCAAGCTGCAATCACTACTTTTAAAGAAGAGAGTTAGCTCCCCCCCAAAACCTGTGCTTTCTCTGTAATGTTTTCTTGCCTGCTAGTAATTGTCAGGAGGTCATGTTTTCACCTCAGACTCTGAGGCACATTTCCAGTGGATTTCATGAGCTGCTGCATGCCTCTTTCTGAGAGAAGGTTAAGCAGAAGTCCTGTACCCTCTGAGAACTGCACTTCAATTTAATTCAAGAATAGGTACAAGATAGACATAGAAAATGCATGAAGACCAAAGTTCTTTTTTTGAAAAGAATGAACATTTTTCAAGGGCAGAATCCTTGAGCTCTGGCAGTGGCTGTACAAAGCTCTGACGAGAACCACTGGAGCTGTTAGAGTAAGAAGCCACAGAACTTTGTATGTAATATTGTAAGCATCCCTATTTTGGCAGTGAATAGAAAAGTTGCAGGTGAGGCAAGCGTCTCTGTCCTTAATCTTGTTCTATGCATCCTCTGACTTTGGTTTCAGAGCTATGACAAATATGAGAACTCTAAGGACAATAATCTCCAAAATATTTTCTCAGTTCTTTTTCTAATATCATAATACTGGTGTTTAATAGCAGCTTGTAATCAAAACAGAAATCGTGTATAGATGACAAAAACCATCCATTTTCTTTGTTGCTTACCATGACCTGAGTGTTGGATGGTCTTTCTACTATTGTGAGTTTGTGAAGCACAGGGCAGTACACTAATAGGCCAAAAAGCCAAAAATTGAGACACAAAGTAATAGCTAAAACTTGAATGTGATCCTTGGAGAGACACTCAGTGTTGCATGTGTGTAAAGAGCAGAAGTCATACAACTGAACAAAGCTGGAAGTCTCTACTAAATAAAAAATGAGAAAGGGTTTAGTGAATATTGTCTAATTTATCAATGCTTAAGGTTACTAATCAGTTGGGAGTTCTTCTAAAGGTCAGCAAACTCCAAGAAGACATATTGGTGACCCTCATTTTCATTTCTTTTCTCCCCCTCTTCCCCATCTCCCTCCTGTTCAGCCCAGCCAGTAATTAGTACCTTGTGCTTTTAATTTTCCTTGAAAAGTAAATTTAAATATGATTAAAAATTGATGTCTAATTTCTAAGCCTAAATTATCTGTTAGACAATATAGTCCATAAAAAAATATGAATGATGCAGGTACATTGTGCTCTCTTACTGGCCTTTCATTATTGATGCACTGTTTGCAGTACCAAAATTCAATAACTTCCGTAAAGGAATTGTCACCTCTCTGCAGAATAATTGCCCTAAGTTAATAGACCTGCAGATGTAATGGCAGAGATGTCTTCAGTTACAATGCTGAATTCACTGCTGTGGTGAAACATGTTGACAAAATGCAGCAGCATTGTAAAACTGTTGAAAAGGGACCTAGCTGTGCACCTGTGAATTTCTGGTACCCACAAATTTACTAGGGGCAATATTAGCCATTACATTTTTATAGGTTGCCTAAAAGTGGGTGTTTATGCAGGGAGGGCTGTAAAAGTGCCCTCCTTCATTTCCAGCATAGGATCTTGCCATTAGCTCCACTGCCCTACAGCAGGTTCATCCTGGGTCACCTCTGAGAGGCACAAACTCATGAGCCACATTTGAGCTGGCTTCGAATGCAGGACGTGTATGCAGCAGGATCTTCCCCTCCACAGATTCTCCAAAGTGAGGAAGGCTCCCAGTGCAGCAAATGGCAGTGCTGAGCTCACATGCCCTCTCAACAGGAGGGAACTCCCTTGGTTTCGCAGATAAAAATAGCAGCAGCTTTAAAGTAGGGCTCTGCTAGTTATTTTTTAATAGTGTAACTTACTCACAGGCAAATGCAGTTTAACTTGTCCCCCAAGCAGTTAATAATTTAAGCTAAAAATCGCTAGCTAGCTTTTGCCAACTCTAAAAAGAAAATGTTTCAGAGTAGCACAAGTAAGAAGGCTAGAGCAGCTCTGGCATCTCCTGAGTGGGTGGCCTGTGTCTCCTATTCAGTGCTTCTTCAAAGCCCACTGCAGTTGTGTCCTCTACACAAAACAGAGTCATGTTCACTAAGCCACAATCCTGGCTATGTCTCCTGTTGCTATTTTAATTTACAATTAAAAATTAAAAGCTTTTTGTTGATTTAGCATAGTGGCCAAACCTCTGTCCTGGGAGAAAAGACAAAGTGTACCACTGGATTTTTGAGTAAGGAGAAGCATTTTAGAGGGGTCTAGAAAAGAAAAAGGTGGTGTTGAAAACTGTTTTTCATCTCTCTGTGGCTGTTTATCAGCCTTGTGAGTGGTCACTAGCATATCAGTGTATTTCACTTTTTTTCTTTTTGACAGTAAGGTGCTAATGCAGAATGATAAAAATAAAAAATCAACTGTTGAAATCAATTACTCATCTAGGTCTGCACCAATCAGTATTTTCTTATTGTCAGAATTTATATAGTGTGTAAAATACCAAACAGGCATTGTTTACTATAGCAGGAGATTTACAACCCTATATCCTACTAATCTCTTAATAGATTATTTCTATAACTTCCAACTTTAACTACTACAAACCATAAAAATCTATTGATTGCATTATTTTTGTCCATAAGATAGCCAGAGTCAAATTTTGAAGCCTAGTTACTGTTTTTTCAGTCATTTCATGTTACCATTCAAATATAACTCTCAGTATGTCATTTGTGTTTCAGCAGTATTGCTTGGAATTATAAAATAAATTGTTTAAGGGCTTATTTTTGGACTGAGTCATATATGAAAAGCAAAATAACTAGAATTACATCACTACAGGTAGAGAGCTTTCATCCAAATAGAACAGAAACAAAGTAGACTCCAGTGCAATTTCATGGTGGGGAAAGAAATTTCATGGAGAGGAGGAGGGAAGAAAACAAAAAAAAACCCAATCTCACTGATGTTAACTTGGTCCTGCCCTCTTTTGATGACTGCTGCTCTGAACAAGAAGGACGCAGCCTTGTGCATGGTTATCTTAGTTTTTACAAGAAGCTCCTTAGCTGATGCTGCTTTTGAATATTTCATCTGACTGACTGAACCATAGCATTTTCCTATTTATTTTCTTAGTGCCTTTGGTAAAAATGTAAAAAATGCCTGAAAAGGCCAATGCAGAATGGGTGTGGCCCCCTTTGAAGCAGGCTCTGTATCACAGCTGGAGCAACTTGCCCAAGACAATTGTAGACACCAGCCAGCCAGGGAGCACCACCCTACCTAAAGGTGCAATCCTGCTGGTTTTATCAGCTCTATGTAGCTGGGTGCTCCCTAGGCTGTGACCAGAATGACCCAGGTCAGACTGATTCCTCTGGCAACCTTGCAAGCAAGGCAAAGCCTCCCCTTTTGGTTGCTGTATGTGGATTTTGCAAGTTGTGTGGTTTGTCAGTGCAAAGAAACGCAGGGGTGGGATTGGTCCCAAGAGCTCCCATATCATCCCAGCACGTACAACAGCCCACACCCAGACAGGTCAGTCTGGTGACAAAAGGATGTCAAAGTCAGTTAATGAAGAAGGTGTTAAAATTTGGCCTTGTAGACACCTTTGTGCTGGTGACAAGCTGAGGGGATAATACTGATATTAATTTAATGATCTTTTTAAAATCAGTCTATTTTTTCATTTTAAATTTCCATTGGGTAATTATTACATTTGATGGGCCCTGATGC